TAGTGAGCCCACATTTCCATTAATATTAAATTATAATATTATGAAAAATAGAAGCAAAGTAAAGAATATCTGCTCACAGAAGTTGAAAGTTGAGTTTTTTGAAAGAGTAATTCCCGATTTATCAAATCGCACATTATGCAGTAGACTAGTTAGAATTGATAGATAGAAAAACATAGTTTGGAACGCCAGAATGCAAATCCCTTTCATGATTAAGCTTGTATTCGCAGTGCGAAAAAAAAATAGTACTGAACAATCTATATAATGCAGAAGTTAAAAAACCGATAACGTACTGATCTCCTTTGGCCATCTCCTTCTTCCTTTGCAAGAAGTAAATCCTGTGGTGATATTTCAGCGGTCATCTAAAAATGCAATTGGTTTTGTAACGAAACAATGCAAAGAAAAATTTGGCCATAGAACACTGACATTAAAAACCTTCTTAACCGAAAAATGCACTGAACAAAAAGAAAAGAATGTAGTCAACTACTGTATTGTATACAACGTTTAGGAAAATATTTCCCACATTTTTCATGAGTTCAAAATCAGTGAGGAACGTTTTTGAAATTAAGTATACCTGAAACCTACTACTAAATGCTAATTTAACTATAAACCTGACCTTAGAGTTCATTACATCCCTTTGAGAATTTTAATATTAAAATTGGAAAATCAACCTGAATCATATCAATGAGCCAAGTAATAGCTCCGAGTAAATGCGGCATAGTATGTGCAGCTCCGATTGTTTGCAAAATAGAAGCTTTTAATTGCAACGGATAACCCGAAGCACGAAGAAGGAGAGGCATCTTTAATATGACTATATATTTGTAAACCAAACATATTACTGTATCACAAGTTTAATTTGAAGTTTTGTATTTATATTTTAATCTAAATGAAAATGAATTTTAGATAAATGGGTGAAAATGAAAAAAATTCAAAAGTTTATAAATGAATCATCTGATTTGCCTCATCTTCTATTTTCCCCAACACAAAATCCGGAGCTATGTGCTGAAAAATGAATTCGAACATACGACCAAATTCAGCTTTAGTTGGGCTTTTTACAAGTTTTTCATTCAGTTGCGAATAATTCATATCAGTTAAATACTGCATAATCTGCAAGATAATAAATTTGAAAAATTTTTTGATTGAGAATTGTCATTTAGAATACTTATATCTGTACTACAGACAATATTTCAATTAATGCACTGCTGCATCGAGGGGCTTAGGCTTAGGCTTAGGCTTAGGTTTAGGTTTAGGTGTCTGAAAAATTGTGCAGATCAATCCATTTAATGATTTATTTGAGAATAATTTGCATTTTATTTAGATGAAGTAAATAGAAAGTTGTGATGTCAGAATATATGAGAAAAATTTTAAAGGACAACAATTTCATCCAGTTGATAAATTCGTGAAGCTACCGGCAATGAATGTTCTACAATGAAATAGAATGCAGGACAGAACAAAGAATATATGGGAACCTTGCGATGCATTTGCTGTTGAACATTACGGTCCATGAGATTGCGATGATCTTTTACCGCACTCAGATTTGTCGCTGGCTTAAAAAATGAACTGCTTCGTCTGTAAACACAGAATAAGATCAATAACTCAAAGCTTGTATTCCCTATTAATTTCGATCTTATGAAGTTTTTACGAAAATCAAACTTTGATGCAGTCGACTGAGAAGCATTTATAGCTGAGATGAATCTTCCATCATGACTTGTAACACTACAAGAACATTTGTTATTAATTCATGAATAAAATTATCAAAATATGAATATTTGGATTTTACTTTACTCCAATATTATTTAGAGACATCCAGATTCATTTATGACGAATCTGGTGCAGTAAAAACGAGTATCAAATACAACTGGGAAATGATAACAAACTGTAATATATTGACTTAATTTCTAATCATGAAATACTCTGACATTTACGTGCCCATTTCCGAAACTAATATTGACGAAAAAATGAAAGCAGGGATTTGTAATATAGAATTTCTCAGTTAATTTAATTACAAAAAAATTATCTAAAACTACGTCGAAGCGGTTCTTAGAGACGAATATGCTGAATGTGGTGGTTCACGTCTGTCTATTGGAGTTTCACTGACAGATAACTTTCGCGCAGAACAGGACTGAAAAAGCACATCGCATAAATTAAATTCAACATTCTTTATCAGTTTTACTTTCTTTTCACAGATTTCTGAGAATAAAAATTTCAATCAAATTCACTACCCTCTCATTGGCATATATAGCATTAAATACATCAGCAGCAGAAACATGAAAACTCAATCTTTTTAAGAGATCTAATTTCTTAAAAGAAGAAAATAACCGTACCAGAGGATTTCTGTTCCATCCAAGCATACTGCAACAAAACAAATTTAAATTTAAATTCTTTACAGTGAGATCCAGATAATAAAAGTCCGGTATAGTTCGAGAAGGTAAAGTAAAAAATGCAGTAAAAAAGTTCAAATGCTTTTCATACAAATACGTGATTCACACGCAACTTTCAGTCACACACTATATTTTCCAGTAATTATTTGGTAAGTATTTAAAATTTCAAACACTGCTGCCGCGTTGCTCAAATTAGTATCCCCTCTTTTGTTAGTTGTTAGTTACATAAAATCACCATTAGGGTGTCGTATGCAACTCGAATTGTGCCATTCTGTAAGGTAGAGGAGTGCTTGTGATTAAAGTAATGGTAGGAGCTTTAGACGTATTTTAGTTTTGCATTTTTGTCATTGTTTATATGTGTTTATGTTCATGGTTTTTTGTAGTCTTGAAAAGACTTAAAAATGAAATATGAACGTAATCAGACGTCTTTTGATGGTGTCAGCAACGGCGATGATTTTCTCGTAGATTTCGGTACTCGTCTGAGGAAAATGTTACCTTCTGAAACACAAGATAAAGTATGCTTTTCTTCACTCCGATTTGTTATGGAATTTTTTTTATTTCTACAAAATACATTTTTATTTCCTCAGTTTTTGCATATAGCTTTCAGATTAGGTTTTATTTTTTCACTAGAAACTCATTTCTAATAATCATTCTGGCATCATTCGAATCGTGATTAAGATGATGGAATTCATTCAGAAGTCAAGCTGAAATCCAGCCTTTAAATTATTAGACTCGAATTTGCAATTTATTTCTATTCTACTGCATGCTTCATATTAAGTCTATCTCTCATATATATTAATGTCTTTTAAATCTTAATTCATTATTGACTAATTCGATTAGATTTTCTCTCTGTGAACTTTATCTGCGTTATCTTAGCTAGATAAGCATTTGCTTTCGCACCACTTGGAGTCAGTGAAGAATTGAAAAACTATGTAATAACGCTTAACACTGCGTCAAAATTCTATTTTCAGGTGAAAAATAAGCAAAAACTTTGTGCTTTTAGATACTTGAAAAGAAAAGTTGTTCTGAAACCATTATTTTTCAAAGTAATGCAAAGAATCGAACAAATATTTAATTTCAATATTCTTACAAATATTTTGTATCGATAGTGTATTGCAGATTGCTATGTGCATTTTGTTTATAATTTTGCCGTTAGGATTTTTACTCGAAATATTTGTTATATTAACGACAGAACATGAAATCTTGTCAAAGGTATGATGTTTACTGTTTATAGTAACGATTTCTTAGATATCCACTTTGTTATTGTAAGCTGGGAAGCATTCTTCTTAGCCTACTGTAAAAAAGGCAATACAAAAAAATACTTCCGGCCAAATATTGATTAAAGAAAATTTCTAGTTACTTTCGATTAATAGTCAGAATAAGTTGCTTGAGATGCGTTTGTAGTATCATCTGTTAAATTTTGTTTTTATCGTGTAACTATCATCTTCAGATTTATCTTGCAACTTTTGTTGCCATATGTTAATCGTTTTTCAGGGCTGGAATTTGAGAGTTGGTGCACTAACTCTATTAGGGTTAAATGCATTTGCAAATGTTTACAAAGTAATTTCTGTTGGTCCAAATGGTAGGTATTTCGATCTACCGTCAATACAGAAACCTGGATATCGGTTTTGTTATAACTGTCAGTTGAATGAACCACCACGCTCTTTCCATTGTCCAGGTAAATTTATTTATTTAGTTTACTTAAATCGAAAGGTCTCATCTATTTAATTAGTTTAATTTTTAAATTTACAAAATTCGATACAAGGATATAAATGCTCATGGTAGTTTCAGTTCACTTTCATACTCATACAGTATATTTGTTTAACGAAATGACGTATGCAGGGACAAGTGATATTTTAGTATGAAATTAGGCAAATGGCTTGTGGCAAAAAATTTTTTACGATCATATTGTTCAACTTTCTCATTTATTATCAACATTTTAACAATTAAATTTACCGAAAAAGTGAATTTCTAAGCAAAACTAATATTTTTTTTTGAGGGTATCAAGCATTTTTAGTAAACCAGAAGTGCTTTTCTTTTTTTCTTCGTTTATTTTTAATTTCTTATGGTGTGTTTTCTTTTACTTCAGTTTGTGATATTTGTGCATTTCGACGCGATCATCATTGTTCATTTGTCGCTGTCTGTATCGGACATTTCAATCAACGATATTATATTGTCGCCATCTGCAATCTGTGGCTTGTATCCACTTTTTTCCTCATGTAATATATTCTAGTTACACGAAAATTGTTCTTTTAAGTAAAACAGTATTTTAAGTTGACGGAACCTATTCAACTTTTTAAAAACTTTCTTCCTGGTTACCAATTTTTTTTATTAAGGTTCATTGTGACCCACAGAAAATTCATCGCTATAGAATAAGAGATCAAATATTCATACCATTTAATCATTAAAATAGAGATAATTGTAAGATTTATTTTGCCTTAATCTGATGTTCTCAGTTAACTTCGCATTAATAACATAATATTCAAGCTTTTCTTCGTCATCATTGTTTTAAAAAATTTAATATGTGTCGATAATTTTGACGGTTTTAGATGGAATTGGTCATTTATGTGGGCATCACTTGGTGGTTTCTCTCCGTTACAAGTATGGGAATTGATAGTGCCACATTTAGCGTTAATGTTCCGCATTATAAATTTCTCTCAATTTTTGTGCGTGATGTTTTTCGTTTTCTCATTCACTGTATTCATTTTTCTGTGCTACTTGGTAGCAGCGCAATTTTTTTGCATTTATCGAGGACAGACGCGTGTGGAGTTTCTTCTGGTAAATGTTTGTGAAAACTTTTAAATTTATGGAACGATAAATTAATATGATTTTCTTGTGACACTTTTTAATTTGCATTAATTTAGCTGAATTGTGTTTAAAAAAATATGAAAATAAAGGTTAGAGAATAGGTCTTTATGTAAATAGAGATACCAAAAGTATTGTTATACTTGTTTAGTTAAATGAGATTTAAATGGCTACTTCTGTTTTTTGACATGGTTAAATGCAATATTAATGTTTCTGTAGGATATACACGCATACAATCTTGGATTTATGGAAAATTTACGTCAGTCAATGGGTAGACGTTGGTTGATGGTATTGTTCTTACCATTTATATCTTCACCACTTTGCTCCGATGGACTTTCGTTCGCAACACGTGAATCCAAACCGCTAATGGATATGAAAACTATGTGATGATATTATAGAATAAGTGTAAATTTAATCTGCAGCTTTATGAATTCTTTGAAAATTTTTTTAATTTTGTCTTTACGTGCAACGAAATATAAATTAATGTATTATTAGACTATTTATATCTAATACAAACGTTGAATCATCCTTTAGTTTAGATATTAAGATAGATAAATAGTACTGATAGGAATTTAAGGGAACGAAGCAATTAATCTTTGTCTATATAACGAAACTTGCTCTTTTTTTGATAGTAACAACAGGTTTCGAAGAAAAAAATACAAATTGAGTTTTCCTTAAAGGCTATTGTTGACATCACTTTCAGCAATATTTATGAACTTGTAAGAAATAAAAATTATACTGCATTTGAAATTCGGAGTCTTTGGGAAGCTTGAGAAATCGCTCAAATTTTCCAAACTTTATCGTTTTTATAATTTTGACTGTGCGATAGTTTAAAACTGAATAATGCAAAACATTTCGTGATTAATTACACAAATTCATGTTATTACATGAATTCGTCATTAATTACATGATTTAATTATTTTAACTAGTAATTTAAGCATACTGAGAGAGCAACTTTACTCAGCTATACTTTAGAAGTCTGCATCTATCGTTTTTATAACTTGTCATATGATCAGTTAACGTCGATATGAGTGTTGTGAATTGTTTGGCCAGATATAATAGAAAGTAAAAATTGTTCACAATATAATACTTCTAATACCTGTTTATATTGAGTCTTCACATCTGTAAGATTTTCAGTTATATGTATTTCTTGTGTTAGATGCTTCAGATATTGCGCTCTCTCATTGTATTTGTAATTTTAGATCTATATTATGGTTTTATGACTAACCATGCATAATTAGTGGAGTTATTTCTTTATATGTATGTCTTTCTATTTAATTGAACTAATTCACACATTGCTATTCTAATTGAACCACTAGTTCAGTTTTTGGTCGGATTTTTTTGATGTTTGCTTTAATAAAAAAATTACTTGTTCTTCAAAGTCTGAGATATTCAGGATGTTTTTACCAAATGTCAGATAAGTTTTAGTGAGATGTCATTTCTGATAAGCGAGTACTTTGCGTGATAAAGTATGCTAACCCTTATCAAAATAAATTGCTTGAAATACATATTGCAATGTAAATTGCGCAGAAGTATATCAGTTTAAAATATAATTGGGTGGTCAGAAATATGCTATTACTAAGTCTGAAGTTCTACAGGAAGGTGAGGTTCTGTTATGCTCTCAAGAATACAGTAGTTTGCATAAGATGAAGACTGTTTTATTCTTTGTACAATTCTCTCGATTAATTTATGCATAGTTTAATGTAAAACTAGCTTATCTATGTACCGATTGTTCCCATGAAGTGAAGAATCGTTTTTAGATTGCATTAGGTATGTACTATGTTATTCAAATAAATGATTTGGTTTTACGTACTGCAAAACAAATTTCGCAAACGTTAGCTTGTAAAAAGGTATAAAATTTTGAATTCAAGAAGGAGAACATACAGCTTCCTTCAGTATGATGAAAAGAAATATTTAAGAATAATTTGTGATTAAGATTGAGTTGTATTACTTTCAAGCTTACTTAATCCTTAAGTCAGTGAACATGACAAGTGTACAACCTCGTGAGGCATCGACTGGAGATAGCAAGGTAAATCAGAAACTTCTTGAGGACTATTTCGCTAACAAGAATCTCAGATCTTTCATTAAAAAAGCACACAAGCTTGTCAAAGGCGAGATAAGTGATGAAGAAATTGGTAAGTCTGAAGTGTTTAAATAGCGAAGCAGCAGAGAATGGGATAAAGCAGTTTTTGCATTTTGCCCTTTTTTGTGATAAATCTGATTCGTGAAAGGAGAAAGCTGATGATGACTTTGAGCTAACTAAGCAACCTCAAATGTTCGAGCCAAATTACATAGGTCTGAAGTGATGTTTCTTGCAAGTTTTGCGATATTACAAGTACTAGTTCATCAAGGACACAAATGTGCTGTTCCAGATTTGGAAATTGGACCGCAGCATTCATCAGTCAATGGAATAATAGATGGTTTTAGTAAAATATTGTTAGAAAATGAAAAAATTGGTCGTGCGGACGTGGATTTACAAATTCATCTCACGAATGTCAAAGACAGATCACGCTGTAAAAATACCGTTCGATTCGTCTCTTACGTACTACTTTTTGCTAAATTTTTCTGCGATAACTTTAGTCTTAAGTGGTCAGAAAAAATACCGTAGAATAAAAATTAGAAATTAGGTAATTTATATGCTGAAATATTCGTTGTTTGAAGTAAGCATATAAATGAAGTCTTCCATGCAGGCTTGCTTTAAGTCTTATTTTTTATTTTCGTTGTCCAGTGATAAAATGCATATTTACGATTGCAATTCGCTCCGGAACATCACTCGATGTAGACCGATAGTAATAAACTAGTCAACATATAGAAAATAATTTAGGATTGTCGCGGTATGGATGAACGCGGTGGGCGAATTTTACGTCGGTGAATAGTTGATTCAGTCCTTATTGCTTGCTTAATTTAAGAGTTTAAGACTTATAAAACTTTGATGATGGTAACCGGGAGATTTTAAAAGAAAAAATATCACCAAAAGCGTTAGCATTATCAGATTCATTTGTGAAGGTGTTTTATATCGTATGTCTTTTAGCAAAGTACTTGTAAAGAAGTTAGTGGCTTTCTACAGCACTTTTTTGAACTTATGTTTTATGCACTGTTACGTTTTGTTGATTATTAAGTTCTTCCGTCCTTTTTCAGTTGTAAAAATTCTAATCTCAACAAATTCTTTTTCTTGCCAGATTCTTCACCATATCATTATGAAACATTGAAATCTTAACTCATCACATTAACATCTAAAAACGTATTATGCATGTAGAATGATTCGCAATACCAGAATCGAGTTACTCAGCTTTGCAATAATAG